TTTCAACACCAACTTCATCTCAGTTGCACATTGAAAAAATAGTTCCAAGCATTATACAAAAATGTTGAATATCTGCAAATTGCAAGAGGGGAAACCACACCACAGTGGTTTTTAATGCTGCTGTTCAATGGGTCGTGGTAGACGTTTTTATTTAGGACAAAACAGCTTGATAACGTGAACGGTGCACGCTAAGGCAGGTTATTTGCGGGGGTAAATGGCACATGCAGGTGACTTCAGTCGCGGTACACTGAAAAAGCGTTAGAAAGTGCGTTTGCTTGTACTGCGATTATCAATAATTTTTAATATTTCCCTTGTTACCAACGCAAAAAACTCATACAACGTCTGGCTCGTTCCGATTGCTATCCTAGGACGATATTAAATATAGACCGATCCATTAACATCAGATGAAAGCGGCTAGTTTTGTGAAATTAAACTGCCGTCAACCGATTGTCACCTAAAGCTAAAGCTCGGATACCCAAATGTAAAAATACCCGCTGAAAGGTAAAAAGTATTGATTACAAGCTGTTTTGACAGTGGCTTTACCGTAAAATATATCTGCTTTGATAGGGACATTTCAGTTGGATGTTATCCAGTTACAAATATGTATCGTGGGTCGCATGTTCTACTCCTAAAAAATACGCTCTTTGACAATTTTCTTCGAACAAACCCATCTTCATCCCTCTGCAATTAAGTTGTCCGACCCGTCCAAGCACTCCCGACATGCTCTTCAGCGCAACACAAATAATAATTACAGTCTAATGAAAAGCTCTTCAGCTTCATAAATCGGACGCGATGCCGTCAATTTTTCGAACATTTCCTCAATGCGAACGAGACCCGTATTCGTCATTGTGTCTTCTAAAGTAGGTGCTTCAATCAATTGAAGTAAATAATAAAAATAAACCACTCGGAAAAGTCTTGGCCCAAGTAAGCTGCAACGCATTGGTAAGCTCTATTATGGCTCAATTTATTGAATTATTTCAATTAGTTGGCTCTGTATTGTCAGCTTTTTGTTCTATTCTTGTTTAATTAGCGAAGGTTTTTCGTTTGTCACCGACTTGTTCAATGACTGAAAAATTCAATAAGGCACATACACAAAAAGCTAAATTTCCACCTCAGAGTTGTAGTTTTGAAGTCACAGGTAGGTGTGGATTAGCATTTCTAAAATTAGAAAGGTTTTCGAAACCGATGTAGCTTTTGTATGGAAATCACTTTATTACCATAACGATTCAAACGATAAGGGTTATTCTCGCACAGGTTTTACACTGATCCAGAGGCCGAAAATCGCGCTCATTTAGCGTGTTTTTCCTCCACATCTCAGTTAATTGCTGCAGGAGAATAGCAAAGGAATATTTTGTACAGCTGCTGAGAATGGCCCATAAATAAAGCGCATTTAGCATTCGGGTTCGGTAAATTGCTAAATTGATCTGTTGGAAAATCACGGTTGGCATCAGGGTGCTCGACTATTTCATAAGAAAACGTCCTCAACCAATAAGGAAAATGCCGCTCTAAAACTGCAATTATCTAATTAACTCAACTCAATTCAATCAAACTCGCTCAGGATCCCAAAGCAATAGTTCCAGGACAGATTACCGCCAATTAACCAATTAGAAGCGCCTAAAGACATGAACTTGATGACATATCAAACTACTTTACACATAATTGACGATATAGCGCAATTAAACTAATCGAGTAAAACTGTAGTTATACAAGGCTTTTTGACTGATGATACTACATTTTTAATTGAATCACTGCGATGCAAGTGGATTGTTTTGTTAGCTGTTGCTGGAAACTGGTCAGAAGATCTGCTACATTAGCGATTACTCAGTGGTTGATCTACAGACCAAAACCTTAAGAGTTCTAGATCAAAAGCCGGAAAGTGCGTAATGGTGCTGGTAAAAATAGCAAAAACATTAACGTTTTGTCAAGTTTCCATTCTCGTGTGTGTGTGTGTGTGTACGCTGAACCGAAATAATCGCCTCTTAAACGACGAGAAGACAAAATGACAAAAGCAAAGAAAATGAGATGAAGTGTCCACATCCGGCAATCAGCTAATCGAGCTGCTACCTACTACTCATGATCTACCAGGACTCCTCACAAAGTGAAACATGGCTTAAGGCCATTTTTCCTTGCTACTGCCAAAACTAGGCCCTCGCCAATTTCATTCGACAGGAAATCGCAATTTGATTACTTGAGCCCATAGTTTAACTCATGGCCAAAGCAACATTCGAAATGGCAAATTATTACGATCATGGCCGAATATTTTGGCGAAACCATTTGGGCAAATTTACATTTAAATAAAGTACACTCAACGTTCAATGAATCAACTGATGGACGTCGCTTAACATCTAAAACGATTTCATTGGCTAATAGCAATAAATAGTAATGTAATTTTTATTTCTCATACGTCAAGCGGCTTAAATCGACACTTTGTAGACCGCCTTCGAGTTCAGATTGCCTTGGAATTTTGCATTAGGGAACATACAAATGTTTAAGTTTGTTTCAGCTAAAAAAATTCTGGATGATCCGTAAATTTAGCCAAAAAACACTCGCATAGTTTGAGGAAATCACCATTTTCGGGCTAAATTTTGAGGGGTGTCTCGCCAAACTGCACCAAACGTTGTTTTCAGTTTAGCACTAAGCACCAGACAATCTCATTTTCGGGCATAAATAAGTGGTTTTGGAAAGTTTGGAATCGTTTTTTTGGCTTAATTTATGACCATCCAGGATTTTTTTTTGGTTCAACTGCTTAATTTGAAACGTACTTTAAGGTACAAAAATTAAAAGATTCTGGGATGGAACTTTGTATGACAATGGGAGTGTGAATGAATCCTTCAACACCAACATTGTCTAGCAAACATTCAATGAAGAGTCAACGCAACTGTTAGTTGTTCTGCATCGTATCAAAACCCTTAAGCCGGCTAAACTGTGTTTTAGTTCGACTGTATCGAATGCAGTGAGCATTTCTTCGGATTATCAGGAAAAAACTGGTAGCCAACAATCAGTGGCATCCATAATTCCAAGACACAATTCCTCATGTTATCTACCAATTACCGATGCCATTTGTGGTAAACAAGAAATTTAACGTTAATATCAGTGAACCGAATGCCTTCAACCTATATCGGGCCGAGATACAGTTAAGTGATTCTTAATTTAACATAAATGCATAGACACTGCTAAAACTCTGGGGCCCGATATTTCTTCGAACGAACGTGGCGAACACATGTTAGGGTCGATCATATTTGTTAATGTGGTAGTTCTGCAGAGAATCGACTGAATACGTAGCGTGGGATGAAATTTTCGGTTAATGGGCTTTAAAGGTTCCGCGGGTACCGACTTAATGCATTCCGGAGTTCATGGTGGCAGAGCAATCACATTGTTGCCACCACAAGGCTGATTTCGATTTGCATCCGAATGAATTGAAAACACAATGAAACAGTGCTAGTGCTAAAACGCGAAAAATGTATTATGCATATTATGCATATCCTACCCGGTTTGCAGTATGTTTGATCGCAATTTTTGGCTTCTTTGGTCGGGGGTACT